AGGTTCTGAGGCAATTTTAGCAACTAGCATGCTTAAAACTGCATGCCCACTTCTGGTATTGTACAATACACACGGTGCCTAATGTGTTAGGTTTGGCATATTCTATCATGATTCAGCAGCCACGCTGTTTTCTTCTCCTTGTCAGCTGTTTTTGGATTTTCTTCCTAAAACCAAAACTATCTGTTGATTAAGAGTCGATATTGGAGCCTCCAAAGTTGGGACTGTTGGGTTACTGATTTCATAGATTGCTTTGGGCATTGCAAAGTTTAGAGGTAAATTTTCCTGAGGTTTCTTTAGTTCCTTTTGCATTGGCAGCCATTTTACATATCTCAGCTAATCTGGATCCAGCATATCTAGGGGATGGTGGTATTTGTAAGCCAGCGATGTTGATTTGTGGAAAGATTTTATTTGTATAGCTTACTAGTGAAGCATTTAAAAAGTTATGAATCGTGTGACAAAGTTCCTCCCCTGCCTTGGTGGGTCCTGTGCTTATTGGCAGATTTGCTTGCCTCAGAGATTCACGGCAGCCCTCAGTTTGGCCACTTTTGCTAGTGGCTCAAACCTGCCGTTCATTCAGCTAACCTCATTACTAGCCAGCATGGGAAAAAGGAAGGAAAACAATCCCTTCAGTCCATGGTGGATCAGCAGAGACTGAAGGGATTGTTTTCCTTCCTTTTTCCCAAGGTCTCTGGGCTGTTCCCCGACCTTCCCCTCTGGTGGAACCCATAGTCCAGGTCAACTCCTCCTGTGTCTGATCAGGAGTTGGGAGGTTTGGGGAGAACCCGGGCCCGCCCTCTACTCTGGGTTCCAGCCCAGGGCCCTGTGGATTGTAGCTGTCTAGAGTGCCTCCTGGAACAGCTGTGCAACAGCTACAACTCCCTGGGCTACTTCCCCGTGGCCTCCTCCCAACACCTTCTTTATCCTCACCACAGGATCTTCCTCCTGGTGTCTGATAATGCTTGTACTCCTCAGTCCTCCAGCAGTACACATTCTCAGCTCCTACTGCCTTTTGCTTCCCAGCTCCTTACACACATGCCACAAACTGAAGTGAGGTCCTTTTTAAACTCAGGTGCCCTGATTAGCCAGCCTGCCCTAACTGATTCTAGTGGCTTCTTAATTGGCTCCAGGTATCCTAATTAGCCTGCCTGCCTGAATTTGTTCCAGCAAGTTTATTCTTGGTCTGGAACTGCCCCTGTTACCTTACCCAGGGAAAATGGACCTGCTTAATCTGTGATTAATATATCTGCCTTCTAACACTCTCCTGTAGCCATCTGGCCTGACCTTGTCACAATAGTCTCCAGCATATTGTAACTGGACAGTACCATTCTTCGAGAGCTGGTATTAGATGAAAGGCCACCGTGTTTCAGTGGGTTGAGCTCAAGGCTGGAAGCCAGGAGCCCTTGAGTTTTTATACTAGCTTTGCTGCTGACTCACTGAGTCTCTATCCAGGCTCTTTAACCCCTCTCCTTCCTTTTAAATCTACTCCCATTGCCAGCTCTCATTAATGCAAGGCATTGTATGATGCTCAAAATCCTAATTTTTTGCTAATTGAACCATACCTCTTTCTCTCAAAAGTCAGGGAATATGGTTCTGTTATGTACTACATATTAGAACAACAGGCACCCAATCTCAATATCAGCTTGTTGGGTGTTTGCTTTCTTAGGATACATACAATGGCAAAGTGTCAAAATGTGTAATTCATCTCTGTTTAGATAGACTTCATTAAACTGGGTAATAAAAACTTTAGTGTCAGTCCAATCCACCACATTCTGGAGGAAACACTCTTGTAAGAAGAGGCTGTGGATGGTGCAAAGTCAGGAGCCAGTTACTACATGGAAGTGCAGTTATGGAGACCATCTGTACTGCTAAGTAAGCAGCTTAAGGATAAGAACTAGAAGTGGTCTCAACTCACAGAATTTGGATCCATAGCTTAGGTGAGTCAAAATCCTTGAGTTTAGTCAGCTCCCATTTCTAATAAGAACACTGGAACAATGATAACCATAGAGAAGAATGACAGAGAAAGATAAACAGAGGTATATTTTTAACCACTCTGATGCCTGCTCTGTTTCTGTGTACAACTGGTGTCCATATTTTTGTTGTGTTTTTTTGTTTTCAAATCTGAGTAGCTGCATCATTAACAATCTGATTTCTTCCTGTAATCAAATTGTGGGGGCAAAAAAGCCTTTAATATGGCTGCCATATTTCTGAAAATTTATCCTTTACTGTTGAAATGAAAAGGAGTACTTGTGGCACCTTAGAGACTAACAAATTTATTAGAGCATAAGCTTTTGTGGGCTAAGGTTGAAATAAAGGTCTGGAGATAGGCTATTTGCTTCCATATCAGAACTTTCTCTCACACATGCACACTGCTACAACTTAAGCTATCGGTTTTGTAAGATTTAATATTGGAAGGGTTTTGGTTATTGCAGTTAGGTATAAGTAATTAAATCTATTAAAGATCATGTGAATTTAGTGAGAGTTTTGCAAATTACTTTAACTTGGGTTGGCAATGAATCTTCATGTTTTATTCTTTAAAGACCATATGCTGTTCTAAATCCACATACACAACTCCTCTGTTAATAAATATTAAACAGTATATTGACCTGTATGTTTTTGTGGATTAAATCTGAGTGTTATGGGGGGGAGTGGGATCAAATGAAATTAAACGACAAAGCTTTCTTACAAACACATATATTCAGAGATGGACTGAGCTACCATATATAGTATAAACTACTTGTCAAAACCATCCAAATTCAGGCGGATGGGGTGTTGACCCAAGGGGTCAGTTTGACCCATTATACAGATAGGAAACAGCTGTGAAATTTGTTGATTCCTTGCTACCTTCCACATACTTGAAGGTGTTCAAAGCTGGGGTTTTGTTTCAACTCTAAATTCAATTTATATCAATATTTTTTGAAAAAGAACCTAAAAATCTACAAAGAGCAGTAGTTCCAGCTAGGTTTTTTCCTTTCCCCCTTATTGGTTCAGCTGTATTTTCCATTGCTAGTCTTAAGGTTTCACTGTTCCTATTTGAAGGTGGCTTTTGGACCCTCAGCATATATCCACTGTCTCTACCATCTGAGGGAGCTGGAGCTCCAAGGTCACCTACATGCTGCACTGCCATTTGGCTACTAGTTACAGTTTGACTGAAACCTGCTGTATAACTCGTCTCTTTTCCTTTCTGTATTGCATTGCTACAGCAATAAAATGGCTAGAGTACAAAAAAGGGAAAATAGGTCAATATTTTGAAAGTAATTTTGTGTGTAAAAGGATGGGATTTTGAAAATTTAGAAAGATGAGAAATCCATTTTAAAGTTCATTAGTCTTTCTTTTGGTAAACTACTTTCAGAGTTTCAGTCCAGACAATGCAGACATTGTTTTACCTTTAGCAGAAATATCTGGGCTGTACAATAACATAATATATGAAGTTTTCTGACTACACACATCATCTAGCCAGCTGAATATACAAGCAAACTCGTCCAAAAAGCACAGCTCATCCTGCCAGGCACTAAGAGACCTTATCTCCTGTTAACTGCAATGGGAGTTGAGAGCAGACAGCATGTTACAGGAGATGATCAACACTTCATAGGATTGGGCCTCTAAAGGTAGTGCTTGCTCAGATTTCCAACTCCTATTCTTATTACAGATGTGCCATTCAAATGAAGGCTCCTATTGTATAGAGGAATTGTCATATTGTAACAGAACATTTCTGCATGGCCAAAGTAATGCTCTAGAGGGTGGTGGAATCCCCATCCAGAAAAACACCCAGTCATTGGTACAAATGAACATATTTTAATATTAGGGTTGAAAGAAAATATCTTTAAACAATTAGCCAAAAGTCATAGAAAAATTGAGTTTTCTGCTTCCATAAGTGTCCAAATTAATTAAATCTTCTACAATTCATACATCAGAGATATATGTATAGATATTAGTGAACAGCAAATCTGTATCGTGTTCAAAGAGAAATATAATGTAATCTTGGTCAAATTACAAAAGGCCAAACAACGTTCAAGGTCTACATCCATAATAGTAAGAAGCCAGCCACAATCATAAAAGGGGAGAAAAATGTATCCTCTGTTTCCCTAAATATCTTGTCTAGAATCTAGTCACATAACAGTGAGACTAAGTCCCTTATCTCAACAAGAGAGTGCATAGTATCCAATCAGTTTTTCAGCAGCTTGCTTTGCGTTTTTTGGTGCATGTGGTTTGTTAGCCCTATGACAGAATGTTCAGATTTGGCCCAATGTTTAGATTCTGGTCAACACAGTCAGCAAAGATTAGGGATGATTAGTTCATTTATTGATGTAGAATTGAGGTGTCAAACATCTCTTGGATATTAAGGAAGACTTACAGATGAAAGGCAGTTTAAATAGCAATTGTTCAAGGAAACATGATTTGATAGCAGGCCAAGGATCCACTCTACAAATTCCCAGGTTGATTTGTTTAAGTGAAAATAGGTAGCAAAGTAAGGTATGTGAAGTAAGAAAAATGGCATGAGAGCAAATCAAAAAGATCCTTTCAACAAAGAAGACTAAATGTGTACAACTATTCCAGATGTTCCTTGAGATGAAACAAAACACAGTAATTGTTTCCAGATTGAGGATACAAGATGAAAATGCCTGGGGAAAAGAATTCCTAAGGCACTGAATATATGTGACACCTGTAGGCTCAAGGTTAGGCTGATTGCCTAAGGGAACAGAGAGCTTCCAAACTGTTGATCATTTATCAGATACCTGTAAAACGTTAAAAGAAACCCACAAGTAGGAAAAATAATAAAGAACATTCATGAACCAAATGGAAATGGGCATATCCAATAATTAAACGTAAGGAAGAATTACTAAAATTAATACTTGGATTTACTTTTACCTCCAAGATGATAACAGTATCCTGAGAAGCATTTAACTACACTATGACAGGTTTCAGAGTAGCAGCCATGTTTGTCTGTATCCGCAAAAAGAACAAGAGTACTTGTGGCACCTTAGAGACTCACAAATTTATTTGAGCATAAGCTTTCATGAGCTACAACTCACTTCATTGGATGCATTCAGTGGAAAATACAGTGGGGAGATTTATATACACAGAGAACATGAAACAATGGGTGTAAGGAGAGTGATCAGGTAAGGTGAGCTATTACCAGCAGGAGAGCGGGGAGGGGGGACGGACCTTTTGTAGTGATAATCAAGGTGGGCCATTTCCAGCAGTTGACAAGAACAATTACAATTAATGATTACAGACCTAAAAGTGGCAATTCTTCCATAAAAAAACTTAAAAAACAGACTCCAACGCGCGACTGCTGAATAATGGAATTAATTTGCAAACTGGATACAATTAACTTAAGCTTGAATAAAGACTGGGAGTGGATGGGTCATTACAGAAAGTAGAACTATTTCCCCATGTTTATTCCCCCTCCACCCCAACTGTTCCTCAGACGTTCTTGTCAACTGCTGGAAATGGCCCACCTTGATTATTTTGATGTCTTTGTTTTTAATTCTGAGTCCCACTTGTGACGTCTTGCTCAAGTCAACCAAAACAGTGTGCCAGTGTGTTACCACTATACCTCAGTGTGAGTGAACTGTGCTGCTGCTAAACTATTTGTCAGCGCCCTGGCATACCAGCTTGTCTGCCTTGCCAGCTGATTCTTCAGGACTATGCCAGTCCAAACTTTGCCTTACAGGTAACAGTGAACCTTATTTCCCAAGTTCCCCAGAGAAGTCTTCCTGCAGTCTCCAGTCCCTCTCACTGGACACTCACAGAAGTTATTAAGTTCACTGCCTCCAAAGAGACAGAGCAGACAATAGTCTATTAGGTTAGCTGAAGACTTACACTTCACTTCAATATAACAGCACTGAGAATTTTTTTTATTACAAAACTAATAAGTTTAACAAGGAACATAGGTTTGAGTGATTTCAAGTAAGAGTAAGAGACATTGAAAGGTTACCAACACACTTTCTAGTGACTAAAACCTAACTTCAGGAAGTAACAATCTTTGTCTAAGAAGGTTTTCCACCTACAGTCAGTTCCCAGTGGCTTCAGCCCTCTTGGTTGAAGGATCCAGCTTTCTCAGATTTCAAGTGCTCTGACCTGCTGTGTCCCTCAGGTGATGGATGCCAAAATAGTTTTCTGTTTCTGCTTATATTTTCCAAAGTCCATCTGTTTCAAAAGCCAGGAAAGCTTCCTGGGGGTAACAGCCTCCACCCCCATCATGATCATTAAGTGTTTATTTCTTCCACTTAATAGCTTGAGGGCTTTGTCTACATTCTGTGTAAATGTACTGTGTAAATGTTCCATTGTTTCTGGTCTTGCCTTGCTCAGTTTATGTTGGAGACAAAGTCAATCAGGCAAAACAACACTCCTTGGTTTAGGACAGCTGGGCTTATGCACTGCATGCCAAACACCTTTTAAAAACATATTTCCAGCACACATTTATAATTTTTTATATACTGCCCATACATACATCATGCAGTATCAATGACCAGCGTGTTTACATACAATACCTTACTTTTTAGATACAGATTATGACAACAGTGAGTTGGGGCAATGAGTGTGTCAGGCATGATGTGAGTCACAGTATAGTGTGCTCTTCGCCATCTGGCACTGAGGCGTTCTCTGGGTCACACCTTTCATAGGGTCAAAGTATACTAACTCCTTTAATAGTCTAGTACCCTCTATGTATTTGTTCTTTTAGAAAGTTCTGACTAAAACAAGTGAATATTATTTTCCTTTGAAAAACTCATTGTCCTGTTCTATAGATAGGAAACTAGCATCCTAACTAATGTCAAGGCTTCTGAACCATGGTGGAAGACTGGAATTCTGACTGCACTCCAGCGGTGGAGAGTAGCAACTCCAACGTAGGAGGCATGTTAGAATGGTAAGGGGAAATGGTGCAGTTGCCTTCAATGGTATCATGCAGATTAACATCAGCTGAAGATCTGACTCAAGTCCAGGTGATGCACTGATGGAAATTCATCCTTTTTCTTCTTTCATCCAAAAGTACAGTCTTGCTTGCCAACAATGATTGGGATGGGTGGGGCAGAGGCAGGCAAAGGGACTTCAGCATTACTATTAAAACTTTGGTAGACCTTTGGTCAGCTCACTAAGAACTGCCAGGCCCCAGCTAAGGAGGTACCACTTGCAAGGGGTTCCAACATTGCACCTGTGGATGATTGAAATGGAGATAACACCACAGTAAGTTACTAAACAAAAATTTCTCTGCCTTTCACAATGCCTAGTCAGTGATCATTGGATTAATTTTACTGATACTAGTTGCTTTTCTTGCTACACCTTTCTCTTCCGGCCCCCTGGCCTGACAGTTACACCAACATAAAGTCCCTTAGTCTTCCTCACACTCAGTCTCTCCAAGCCAAATTTTGCCCTACATCATGCCTGTTTAATCCAATTTATTTCCTCAGTGGACCAAATTTAGAGATAATAGGTGAAATATTGGTTCCACTGAGGTCAATGGCAACATTCCCATTAACTTAAATGGGGCCAGGAATGTTTACATAGTGGGGTATAAAGTGCATGCAAGTAAGTGGATGTGAGTCAAATAAAGTAAGTATAAGGAAATCCAAGGGATTCTAAATTTGTGTAACATAAAAACTCAGAGGTCAGGAAGAAGGGGCTAAAAGTAGATCCCTATTGTCATTACACATGCTAATGAGAGCTGGGAAAACTGTTGCAGTGAAATATAAAATGAGGAGTTTATGGTTTTCTGTTGAAATCATATAAAAACAGAATATTTCTTTAGCAGGAAATTAAAACAGTGCAGAATTAATTTCCTATTCCAAATCAGAACAATAAATTGCAGGGTGCCATTTTCAAGAGTACCTAACTGACTTAGCGGTTTAAGTCTCATTTTCAGAAAAGGTGCGTAGGCATAAGTTAATGAGTTTTAGGAACCAAAGCTCCCAAATAAGTTTTGAAAATAGGACTTTCGCTACTAAGTCACTTACAGCCAGATTTTCAAAGGTATGCATGCACTTATGTATGATAAGTGATTTGCAAAATCCCACTAGGCAACTACACACCTAACTTCCATTACAATGTCTTTAAAAATCTGCGCCTTGCTGCACTTTCAATAATCTTACTCAAAATATCATTTTTCCAAAGACAGGTAATTTCTGAAAAGTTTCAAATTAAAAATATTAAAATGGAAAATTTCAATATTTTCAATCAAAAGTGTACTATTCAACATGTCAATCTGATTTTTTTTCCTAACACTCCTGATTAGAAAAGCCTAAATTTTTGTTGAAATTGACATTTTAAACACATTTTTCTGTGAGAACTTTTTCACTCAATTCATTTCAACCAGGTCTATTGCTGATAAAGTTTACAGGTGACACAAAACTTGGTGAACTGGTTAATAATTATAAAGTCAGGTTAATTCTTCAGAATAATCTAGATCCTTTGTGTTTCATGTACAAAATCCTGGGTAATAATACGAGAGGGCTCCATATTCCTATATCTAAGCTCTTTATTAAGAGATGCTGCAACTATAGCTAGCATTCAAGTCACGTACACACAAACTGGCTTACTGGTGACTTCTTTAAATTCTTCCTATCTTCAACCTGTGCTCCTCCCTGCACATTCCATACAGGATGCTACAGTTTGGTAAGCTGGCCGCATCTGAGCAATGTGCAATTTAATACTGTCAAATACAAGGTCATACATATAGAAATAAAAATATAGGTCACACTTACAGGAGCAGGGACTCTACTTTGGAAAGCAAAAACTCTGATAAGAACTTGGGTCAGTGTGGCTTACCAATTGAACATGAGCTTCTAGGGCAATGATCTGCTAATGCAACTGTTGGACATAAAAGTAGGCAAATATCCAGTAGGAATAGGGAGATGGTATTACCTTTGTATATCGTATTAGTCAGACCATTAATGGTTTATTGTGTCCAGTTAGGATGCCCACACTTTTAAAAAGATGTGGACAACTTGGAAAGCAGCTATAAGAATGACTCAAGGTTTGGCAAACTGCCTTACAGTGAAATTTAAGCAGCTCTATCTATTTAGCCTATCCAAGAGATAGCAGAGATGACTTGGTCATGGTATATAAGTACTTGTAAGGAGAGAAATTTTCTGAGAGTAAAGAGCTCTGTAATCTGACAGACAAAGGCATATTCTGATCCAATACTGGGAGCTGAAGCTTCAAAAATTCAGGCTAGAAACAGGGCACAAAAGAGAGGGTAATTAAGTGTTGGAAGAATTTACCAAGGGATATGGTCTTGAAGTGTTTAAATTACATTTGGATTGCTTTCTAAAAGATATTCTGTAACTCAATCACAAGACAAAGACATGACAAATTACTGTGTGACATTCTATGGTCTGTGTTATACCTGTCAGGTTAGATGATTGTAAAATAGTCCCTTCTGCCCTTAATCTATGAATCAAAGAAAACTATCAGTCTTCACATGGTCTTACCTGTAACACCATTTCCTGAAAAAGCCACCTTCTATAGCTGATATTTAGTTGAATGTCAGCCAGGAACATCAAACTGTCATTGTGGGTAAATTGTGATTCACTGGAAATTATGTGCTCAAAGGGGTGGCAAAAGCCAGGCTAAAAGTAACAAAGCAATGACATTTATGTAGTACTTGCTATTTTCAAACAGTATTTAATTAACCCCACCATGAAGTGGGTTATTTCCCCCCATTTTATAGATGGTGATGGAGGGGTGAAAGACATAGGCAAGTTAAATGACTCATCTACTACTACAAAGCATGTCAGGAGAAGATCCAAAATTAATCATGCATTTCCAACTACTAGACACATATTTAACACTTTAATCCATTTGCTTCTCAAAATCCCTGTCCTTTCAATTGATCAGTGTATGGATGAAATACTTTCATCGCTATTTGATACCATAATCTTCCTAAAGCTATCCATAATATTATTTAATAAAATACATAATTAACAATGGGTAATATGAACATTTTATACTGTAACTAGTATTGCACAATATTAATGTACATATTTCTATCTATTATTGTCAAAATATTAATAATCTGTTCCTTTCTCTTTTCCTATCACTCTTTTACAAGCTACCTGTCTTCCTGGATTTACCTCTTAGGATAGGGATAACACCCTCACTCCTTTCTCCCATGCATCTATTCAGAAAGGTTAAATTTCAAACTAAGGATGGTTTGCAGTCAGTCTTTATATATTATTTTTCCTTCACACGGCTAACAGCTCAATCAAGCTCCTGAGGAAGTTAATGGAAAGACACCCACTGACTTCAATTGAAAGTGGAGTTTGCACCATTTCATCTGCATTTTCTTCTGCCAAATCACTGCATCTTGTGGCTGAGTAAAAAAGGAAGCAAATATGTCTCATTTTAGAAGGATTTAGAGAGGAAACTCCTGGATTTTCCTGCAATGATTTTCACAATAAAAGTGAAAACTTGAATATAATTCATCACAACAACTAGTGACCCACTTTTGATCCATTCTTCACTGTATTTCAGATTTTTGACAAGTGATAACATTGGCCTCAATTTGATCTGACTTATACTACTTTTGCAATAGTGTAATTCCCTTGACTTTATGGCATAACTTCTGATTTATACCAGTTTCAGTGAGAGCAGAATCAGGCCCAGAAGCCTACTTATTTTTCCACAAAAGTAATAAGCATGAATCATTACTTATTCCATGCTCCATGATGTGTGAGCACCTAACTGAGAGAAGAATCAGGCTCTTCATTTTTGAAGATAAAATTTATTATCAAACATAAAATACAGCTAGTAGCTCAAATGCAGTTTAAATTAGAGCTACTGGGGAAAAAAATCTGTTACCAAGATATATTGTACTAGCCGGGGTTGCTTGAAAGTACAGTAAGTGGAAAATTATCTCTATGGCTGAGACAGAAGGAAAAGAGAGATCTTGGAGGAATGAGAAAAATGTGGATGGATATATGAAATTATTTATCTAGTTAATTATTACATATTTTAATTCACTTAGCCAGTGAAATTAATGACCCTGTTTTAAATAATTAAATGGATAATGTCATTAAACGAGTAGTTTAATTGAAACCTACAAACCCAAATGTCAAATGCTGATATTGATTCATGGTATAAATAAGAGTTCAAAGCCCAGAGAGGGTTTCCAATAGCCCTGCTTCCAAACTGGTTGCTACATTGTTTCATGTTAAAGATACTAATGAATGTCATTCTTCTCCCCTTACTCTCTGCAGAAGTCATTATTAACACACCTCCTTCCATTCTTTTCTGGAGTCCCCAAGTGGGTCTGCATTTGCTTTCTGAAAAGTAATTCAGTAGTGCTGCACAGCTACAGAAGAGCAACAAGAAAAAAAAAAAGTCGACGGTAGCCCAAAGTGAAGAGGAAGCTTTGGAGATTGAAAAAGTTTTCCAAGACATATCAGTATTGCTAGCTACATAGGCTTTAAGGTCAGATAGGACTATTATGATGATTTAGTCTGACCTCCTGTAGAATTTCATCCAATAATTTCTGCATCAAACCCAATAACGTTTGGTTAAACTAGGGCAGGGGTAAAATTTTCAAAAGGTTCCAAGTGACTTGAGATCCTAAGTCCCATTTTCTAAAGGCTCTTAGGTGCATAACTAAGAATCTAACAATGCAGATAAGCACATAGTCAGATTTTCAAAAGCAATTATGCACCAGCTCCCATTGATTTAATTGCTTTCAATGAGAGGCAGTATTGCCTGAAGGTTAGAGCACTGGACTGGGACTCGGAAGACCTGGCTTGTACTCCTGATTGTTCTACTAGCCTGAAGGCTAACTTGGGGCAAGTCACTTCACCTCTCTGCACTTCAGTTTTCCCATCTCTAATAAGAGAATAAGGATACTGACCTCCTTTGTAAAGCACTTTGAGGTCTACTGATGATATGTGCTATGTAAGAACTTATTATTATTAAGAGGTCATTATTTGCCAACAGTTATCACAAAGTCATACCAGAGTTGCCACAATCTCCACTTATGCCTCATATAATGAATAATTGCTGTTCATCATGTACCACTGTGTAACTCTGATAAATGTTAACATTTTCATGGTGATTATTTATTATTGCTTTATTGTTATTATTAGGGCATTCTTAAATATTGCAGATATCCTTGTTACTATCATGGCAAAACTGAAGCTATTCTACTTCTGTTCACTGAACTACTTCAGAAAAAAATGTTTATTAGTGCCCTCCCACTCAACCAAAGCACAGGGTTTTCTGAAGACATCTTAATGCATGTCTTGTTGACAGATAAAAATGTACACAACTTGTTTTAATTTTATCCCATGTATTATCATTTGAATCAAGATAAATGACTTATCACACGGGGCTAAGAAGTGCTACTTCAGTCAAAACAAATAATGATACTACATGTACTGAACTCTAACACACATTTGATCTTTGTTTATTCAAACATCCCCACTCCTTCCTGGCTTGGTTTTCCTATGTACCACCTAACCACATATCCAGTCTTAACTTCTTCACCCCTCCATCATTTTGTCAAGGCTGACCCCTTATCTATCTCCTCAGCACTATGTGTTAAGTTCATACTCATCTCTAGCTCAGCTGTCTGTCATGAAATCACAGAAATGTAGGCTAGAAGGGACCTTACGAGGGTCATCTAGCTCAACCTCCCCCCCTCCCCCCCCCCCCGCATAGGCAGGACCGTGTATACCTAGACCATCCCTGACAGGTATTTGTCTAATCTCTTTTTATACAATCCCCATCACTGAAGATTTTTTTAACCTCCCTTCCAAATTCTTAACTTCCAGTGCTTAACTATCCTTATAGTTAGAAAGTTTTTCCTAATATCAAACCTAAGTCTCCCTTGAAACAGTTCAAGCTAATTACTATTTGTTCTACCATCAATTGATCATCCTCCTCTTTATAACAGTCCTTTACATATTTGAAGACTTATCAGGTCCCCTCAGTCTTGTTTTCTCAAAATTAAATATGTCATCCTTTATGTTGCTCTCCTCTGCTCTCTCACCAATTTGTCCACATCTTTCTTGAAGTGTGAAGCCCAGCACTAGACACAATACTTCAGCTGGGGCCTCACCGGTGCCAGTTAGAGTGGGACAATTACCACCAGTGTCCTACATACAATATTCCTGTGAATACATCTGAGAATATTAGCCTTTTCCACAACTGCATCACATTGTTGAATCATATTCAAATGTATTGTGCCTGTAAGTTTATATTTTAAAAATGCAGGGGAGGAACTTCAAATTTAGTTATCTTGGGAAGCAGGATGGGGAAGTACTGCTCATGAGACATTGCTGAGAGACCTATCCTGGCAATGGTTTCAGAGCCACTTGCTCTCTGAGCTGTGGAGATATGTATCCAGGTATGTCTATGTAATGTCCTCAGAGGATTCTATCTAGATTTTTAAACAGGACTTGGAACAACTGCCAAAGAAATATTCCCAGATTTTACACTCATGCCAGTGCATGCTTGGAAGGATCTTTGAGTAGTCTGAGTCTTTAGTTACAACTTCCCCTGGAGAGCAGACATGGTAGCAGTGTTGATTGCCATTTCTCAATAACAAATATGGATTTAAAGAGCTCCCAGCAAACTGGTACATAAAAGGTCTGGTGTGCAGATGTTCTGTTTATTCACCAATTTGGAGTGAGACTTGTACATTTTAAATTATGTCTCTAATGTTGATGTGAAGGATTCTGGATTGAGTTTCAGTGAGACACTGAAAACCTACCTTCACAGATGTTCCAAAAATGTCATTCAGTTAATAGTCCCAGCTTGAGGTCCTTCTTCTCCTGCCTCCCTCTGACTCTTCTGCAACACAACTAAATCAGAGACAAGACACAAATTCTCCATTCAGCGAGAACTTTCCAAAGTGAATTCAACTTGCCAACCCTAGTCCTTCAAAAACAAGCATATGAGCAGTCCTAGTAATTATGCATTTACATTTTCCCACGACCCAGGCATACATTTCAGCTATCTTACATGCCCCAATATAATGGATTTGAACCCATAAAAAGTCTTTGGGCATTCACATAAGATACCTAAGTGTCCAATTATTCAATTTACATGCACAGTTATTTTTCTATGCAATTCAGTCCTGGAGCACCCAAAAACAAAAGTGACCATAACTGCAGGCTTCAAAACTTGTACATTAGAAAATTAGTTAGTTTTGAAAACTGGGCACTTTCGGTAATATAGCCCATAACATTAAAAATTTAGAAGTCCTCCCTGTAGACAGGCAGGAAGGTGAAGTGCTACAGCCAAGATGTCAAGAAAGAGTAATAAAGGGTGAGCCCTAGTCCAGTGGATGAGCACAAAACTAGAGCCAGAAGACCTGTGTTCTCCTACCAGTTCTAACTGTCTTATTGTTGGAACGCAGGAAATGTCTTCAGCTCTGTGCCTTAGTTTCCCACCTAAAAAACATTTAGAATGGGATCTTAGTAATTGATTATTGCATGATGATATTGTTTATTGCTTTTATTTCCCCAAAACTCCATAGCATCTCTAGCTCACAAGAGCAACCCCTATGACAACAAGAAAGAGGCAGAGCCCTCAGATAACAGTAATAAGCAAGGGGAGATCCTGCCAGAAAATGTTTGTTTGTGTTACGACTATATTTCTAAATGTGCAGTCTGACTATACAGTAGTTCTTTTTTTAAAAGTGTGTGTCCTTTTTAAACTGTAATATGTTCATTAGTTTTTTCTGTATTATACAGTAGTCTTCACTGCTGGGGCTGCAGCACTGAAATGTAATAATATCATTGGCTGAAGACTCTGGAGGATTCTGTGGTCTGTCATTCTCTGTGTGGCTCTCCAGCTGAGAGCATTGCTCTTCATTATAGCATTTCTTTTCAGCAGTATCATTTCCCCCTCCTCATTCAGTAAACAACAGTCCCCAATTGGTCAGACAGCTGTAGATAAAATACCAGATAAGAAAAATGTAATAAACTGTTTCTCCCTGCCACAAATATACACTTTCAAAAGCGGCCACTTTGGCCAGCAAAGACAACAGACAACAAATTCAACAGACAACAAATTCTTTACCCATCCCATAGATTGAGATAGTTAAACTCTCTAGATCAGTATTTCTCAACCTTTTCGATACCAGTGGCTGGCTTGCTGCCTTCCTAAACTGTGTCGGGGACATCTCAGGGACCAGCACCATCCATGGACCAGTCGTTGAGAAATTTTGCTCTATCTGATGTTTGTTTATCCTCGTGTTTGTAATAAAAGCTACTCCTTCCCTAACTGAAGTCTGTTTAAACATTAAAAGCTAAACCAAAGACTCCCCCTTTCCTCACAGTTAAAAATCTTAGCTACTTATATGGCACCTATTATTGTACCAT